TATATTTTGTAATTTTGAATTGTGAATTAATCTTTAAGTGGGCTTTCTTTACAGGAATTTTTATGCCAGTCAACAATGTTTTCAAGAGTACTTAGTTTTGTGTTTCCTTTCACTAATATACCCTCCTGCCCCATTCACACTTTTATGAGAATTTTTTGATTTGGGGCCTTTTGAGACTATGAAGCTTATGTAAATTCAAACTTAGATTTTTAAGTCAGGCCTACAGTTGTGATATCCCAAGGAAGACTACTGTTTCCAACACACAGATCAGGCCAAGACAGATAAATTTTCCCCATGTACTAGTGAGTAGATTTTTTGTTTCGCTGAGTATATAATTGGGAATGTTATAGTTTTGGCTCCAACTTTCCATCTTGGTATAGTCAAGACCTTGTATCCTATAGCTACGTGGTCAAAAAACCACACACCCTCTGGTTACCTCAGGCCACAGCTTCCAACACTAACATCACCCCCACAACTACCACCTCTACTAGGGCAGTCCTAGTACCAGGTCATGTTTATTTACTTCATGATTTTTGACCCCTGTGAATTTTTCCTTCTATTGTGGTTAACTTTGCCTTTTAAAAAGATGTCAGCTACAGTTTAGCCAACATTTCTAGTTAGCCAACATTTCTAGTTGGTGGGAGAGTTTTCAAATTTTCTGTTCCCTCAATGTTGTTTATCAAATAAGTTTTAGAAATGCTAAACTCACCTCTTCCTTGGAGATTTTTTCTCCTTTTTCTTTGGAGATTTACATCATTAGCCTACTAAAAGACAACAATTTAAATTTAACCCTTTTTTGGAACAATATATGCTAAAACTTCTCTTGTTCTGGGTTTACCCCTGAATCACTATGTTGTTTGCATATTATGAATGAGGCAGTTTCCCTTATGAGAAAACTCAAGATGAGTCATGGGCTTAACTGTTTCTTCAAGTCACTGCTTTAACCTGTCAATAGGATCGTGTTGTACTCTCAGGATGGAGGCAGGTAGGGAAGTGCTTTCTCTTATAGCATGAAAGCAGATATGCACTTTTAAAAGAAATGTCAATAGTTAGAAGTATAGAAGAAAATAAATCACCCTATTTTATGCCATTTAATGGACAATTTGACTCTGTTAGGAGGTAACACTTTTCCACTCAGTGGAATAAAGGCTCTGAAGGAGGGTCAAAGGACCTGATACTACAGTTATGGCTTTGCCCACAGGTGCTTCCCATATGCAGGAGTCAAGGATGTGAAAAATCTTAGAATACTCTGTACAATAGGTTTATTAGTCAAAATGATTTAAAATCAATGGTTAATCCATAACCAGCTGGTTTCTAATGCCATTTATTAGATTAAGATTCATGCTCAGAATTTACTGAAAAGAGAACTAGAGATTGAAGGACAATTCCATAGAGTGACAGCTCTGTAATTTTGTAAACTTGGCAGGTTGTCCCTCTGATTCTGGGCCTTATCCTTTTAGCTCTACCAAAGTAACTAATTAGAATTTTAGGAATTATATGCCCCACCAGGGACAATAGAACACGAAGAATTCTGATGGTATAAAATTTTCCAAAGTATAATTTTTAAGGTCAACATGATAAATTGGATGTCTATCAACTAGAAACCCATTTAGGGAGATTTATAAATTACTTCTTAGATACCAAAAATACAGAAATGGGAGGGAAAACTCATTCAAATATTAATAAGAAACTGTTCCTCTCTCATTCCCTAAAAAAAGGAAAATGAAGCCCACAATCCACTCTGAATGCTCATCAAAGAACCTCCCATTGAGATAAATGTTAATCCTGTTTTTCAATATTTGCTGCTTAAAGATTGCTTGTGTTCATCAGAGGGGTTCTGAGTCAAAACCCCAGAATCTCTTGGGCAGAGAGGCCTTGGTGAGTCTTACTGGTTTCTCCCCTCCTCTCTGCTGCATTGGGTGCCTGTGCCACTGGGAAGCCTCATGATGAATAAGAGCAGAGTCACCCAGGGTAGGGCTCCAGATGCTGGAGCATCAAAGTCATCCTAGAAGGCTTTAAAGCACCAGAGGCCGCCTGGGGCTGTCCCACCCTGACCTGTTCTGCTGTTTGACTAAGGTGTTTAGATGCTTCTTGTCTGCAGCAGCCATCACAGAGCCTGGCGCACAGTGGATGCTCACCCAGCCCGGGTCCTGGCATGTGGCAAGTGCTCAACCAGTGTGGGCTTGACACATCCTGGGAGCTCAGCAAGCACAGGGTTTGGCATGCACCGGATCCCTTGGTAGAAGGCTTGTCACTTATCAGGCCTTCTCCTAGCATGAGTCCTGGCACGTGACAAGTGCTCACCCAGTATGACACGGCACACACTGGGCACTCACCTAGCGCAATGTCAGGCACACAGGGCTGACCATATCCTGGGTCCTCACCTGGCCCAGAATTTGGCATACATGGGGCACTCATCTTGTGCAGGACCCAGCAAACCACCAGGGCTCCCTGGCATGGGGCTGGCACACAGTGGGTCTCTCCCAGCACTGGACTTGGCAAACACTGGGTACCTTCCTAGTGTGGTGTGACACACAGTAGGTCTTCTCCTATCTTAGGCACCAACACACAGTGGGCACACTCCTTAGATGACAAGGACTAGCACAGAGGAGCTGCCGTCCTAGCCAGGCCAGCCTGCCTGCACGATGACTGGATGATCCTAGATTCACAACTACAGCCTCCCCAGTGAAATGGACAGTATCTAGATCCAGAGGAAAAGGCCCAACCTCCTCATGCTTCCTCTCTGGACCTAGGACCTACCCTCCATTCCACTTGGCCTCCCTCTGCACCCTGGCCTCCCTGGAGCCCACCGACTCAGCTCTGTGGCCTCCCCTCCCTTCACACAGCTTCCCGGCAGCCCCACCACCCCAGCACGTTGCAGTCCTGCCTCAGCAGGAACTTCCCTCGGAGTCACAGGTCACAAACAAAGCCCCTCGACTCCTTGGCCCTCTGGAGGAATGCCTCCTCTTCTTCAGAAAAGTCAGAGATGGGCTTGGGGGAGCCGGCCTCCCTAGTGGGACTAGAGCAGCTGGATGCCACTAATGAGGCCTCATTACGGCCAGGACCCAGCAGGGCTGCTGCTGCCTGCTGTCCCCATGGCCAGAGCCAGAGAAAGCTGTCCAGCCAGGGCTGCCTGTTCTGGGCACCTGGCCCAGGCCAGGGCAGCCAAAGCCCAGAGCCTACTCTGGGTGGAAGTGAGCATTTGGGCATCATGGGTGACTGGGCCTTCCTGGAGCCAGTGGCCCAGCCAGGAGCTAGGCCCTCAGTCTGGCCTCGCAGGAAGTCAGCGAAAGTCAGCAGAGCGTGTCTGGGGACCCGGCCTCACGAGGCTGGCCTGGAAGCAGCTCAGTTGCTAGGGTCTGAGGCCATTCTCTTGGGAGACTTGCTTGAGCCAAGATCACTCCCCATCTTCCCTCCCCAAATGGGCATAGTAGCATACTGACGTCAAGAGGGTGTTGGGAAGATTAAATGAGTTAATATATATCAATATGAAGTGTTTAGAACAGCATCTGGCTCACAGTAAGCACTTCATATATATGATCTATTACTATTATTTATAATGCTTACTAGCTTCAAAGATGGGTAGATATGATCCCCATTTTAGAGACACAGAAACTGAGACCAAACAAGTAAAGTAACTTGCCTAAGGAGATACATGGGGGGAGATCCACCAGAGCTGGGCTGGAACCCAGCTCTGTCTGACTAAAGACCTTCCCTTTAGATATAATGATGTGGGTACTCCCCTGGTCGTCCAGGGCCTAGGAGTCCGCCCCCAGTGCAGGGGACACGGGCTCAATGCCGCTGGTCAGAGAACTGAGGCCCCACACGCCACAGAACAGCTAAGCTGTTGCATCACAACTAAAGAGCCCGTGCGCTGCAACTTAGATTCAACACAGCCCAATAAATATTTTTAAAATAGTAATAACACAAAAGTTAGTATCATCCTGCCATGTTCCCATTGGGGTCAGCACACTTACCAAACTCACAGGGGAGCTGTCCTTTACATCAGAATTCATGCTTGATCTTAGGTTACTAAGATCCTACGTAGTACCAGACCCTTTGCCCACCCATCAGTTTCCCAAAACTGGAAGCTGAGTCTTCCCAGCACCAGGACACTCGTGCCTGCCTTCCTGGTCACTGGTTTGTGGTGTCTCAGCACCCACTGGAGACTGGGCAGTGAGCGTGGCCTCAGAGAAGAGGAATTGAGGGTCAGAGTGACAGTCTACGCAGATCACTCAGCACTGTCTCTCAGAGGGACCGCCTCAGGTTCAGCTGACGCAGTGCTTATCCTCAGGGGTCTGTGTTCTGCAGCTGCCCTCTCAGCTAATGCTATCTTTCTTCAGACAGGTGAGAGCGCAGTTCACCAGGCCACCACTCTTTTGCACAGTCAGTCCCATTCTTCTGTGAGGACACATCTACTGTCTTGGCTGGCTGGAGATCCCCAAGTCCGGGGGGATTGCTCAGGGCCCATCACCCTCAGCCCTCAGCACTCTGCGGAGTCTGAATGCTCTGGGAGTGCCCTGTGGCTCCATCCCCTTCTCCCTGCCCCTTCACCCTCTCTGGGGCCCAATGGTACCCAGCCTGGTGACCAGGGGCCCACCCGGTGCCAGGCCTGTCTGCTCAGAAGCATCTGGGCCCAGCCCCCACTCTAGAATGGGAAGGAGCTGCCCTCTGTCTGTCCTGGGCCTGCTCTGCCTCACCTGTGGTTGTGAGTGTGTGTATGTGTCGTTTGTTCCCATCACTTGCTGGGAACGAGGGAGAAACACAACAAGCCCCCCGCCTCACTCCAACTGTGGAGCACCCGCGCTGGGGGACATGGGGACAGCCGGAGCGGGAGGGCTGGGGAGGGGGAGGCAGAGCTTTGGGAGGAGATGAGGTATATAACAGATGCTGCCCAGCAGGCAGTGGAAGAGGCAGGGGATGCATCAGTGTCGCCTGGAGCTGGCGGAAGTGTCAATGAGTGGAGATGCACACACTCCACTCCAAGTGTTCACCCCAGGATGGCGGCGGCTCAGGGACCTGCGGACCCCTCTTCGCCAGAACAGGTCAGTCATTTTCCAGGAGGCCGAGCCCCCTCTCTGGTGCCAGGCAGACTGGGAGGCAGGACTGGGGCTGGGGAGAGGGGCTGAGTGGTGTGTGCCAGGGAGGGGCAGGCACAGCCAGCCAGAGAGGCAGACAGCAGCAGAAGTGACGCAGAGAGTTGCAAGTGTGCAGAGGAGCAGGAAGAATTGGCTGTGTGGCGGGGGCGCGGGGGAGGAGAATGGGGGTGTGGGCCCCCCACCCAAGGACCTGCAGAGAATCTGTTCTGTGCATCCAAGCTGCATTGTCTTAGCTCCCGGGGAGACGGGCCGGAGGTGCCCAGGACTTGCACTAATCATTGTCTGTGCCATGGCAGTTGCTCCTATGGGGAGAGTGGGTGAGGGGGCAGGCACACTTGGTACAGGGGCTGCGTGGGGAGGATGGGGGAAGTGGGTGGGCGAGTGTCTCAACTGGGGGGTGACAGACCCTGCGGAATGGTTGCCAGTGTCCAGGATGAGGGCCTGGGTGGGGTGGGCACCACCGGTGTGCCCTCATCCCTGGAAGCCAGGGATGGGCGGGGATGGCAGGCACAATGTGACTGATGGCAGTGAGGGAGAGGGGCCTGGGACAGTCACCTTCTTTTTCTGCAGCGCATCCTGACTTGACCTCCAGAAGGCAAGAGAAGGCATGTCCGCTGGGGAAACCTGGGTTGAGTTTGGGAGTAGCATCATGCAGGGCTGCCCTCCACCCTCAGGACTGCCAGGGTCAGCAACCAAAGCCACTTCCAAAGTGCCAGCCTGCTGCCAGCTGACTGGGGCAGAGGCTGCTCATGGCTGCCACAGTGTGAGGCAGGACTGCTGGGCTCCAGGGCAGAGACAGTGCCCACCCAATGGTCCCGTCACTACTCCCAGGGTCTGGAGTGGAGCCTGGCGTGCCTGGGCCACATCTCCTGTCCGGCATCCACAATATTGGCGGGTCAGTACTGGCAGAGCCCTCTGCCAGTCAGGGCTCTGGGATGAAACAGCACCGGGCACGTCCTTGCTTCTCTCACCTCCCATGTGAGGGTCTGATCTCCTGAGAGGTGCCGTGAGGTTTTCCTTGAGGCAGGAGACACTCATAGCCCCTGCATACTGCTCGAGTCTGGGGAAGATTTTCCCATGGTCCCGCTCCTCAAGCCCGGCCCTTGACTCTTTCACGTGTCTGGATCAGGGAGCCAGTTGAAGGATGGAAGGCTCTGTATTGCAAGCAGGTGCTACCTCAGAAAGACAAGTTGGGGAACCAAGAACCAGGGGGTGTGAGGTCATGGGGTCTCCCGGGGCAGCCACGGTTTACGGTTTACTGTCATGGCTGTTCTGCCTGAATTCCCCCACTGGAGCTCAGAGAAGGTTGCCAGGGATCTGGATTTGGCTCAAGGTCAGTCTGGGATGTAGGGTCTTGCCTGTTCGCCTCTGCAAAGTTTCTTAGATAGGACTTCATCCCTTGAGCAAACCCTGGGGCTGCAGAGTCCTGGACAAGAAGCCTGCCGGCTCCCAGCAGGGCCTGCCCGTCCTGGCCTGCTCCAGGAGTCCTCGGTGTCCACCGAGAGCAGAAGAGAGAGCGCTCGATTCACAGAAATATCCAGTGGACACTGCTCTCGGAGGGCGGGAGTTGGTAGCCTGAGCACAGCCATCTCCCAGAGTAGAAAGCTGGGCTGCCTCTGAGTCTGGACACGAAGAAGGGAGGGGCGCCCCTGCGGTGCGGGGTGGGAGGGCGGCCTCTGGGAGTGGGCTCTGCAGCATCGTGTCCTCTTTACACTTTGCTGTAGTTTCCAGTTTTTTTTTTTTTTTTTAATGATAAGCTCATAATTGGAAAGAAAGCAATACCAATTTTTTTTAAGTTGTTTAGAAAGCCAGTGGGAGCTAGTGGAAAATACAGGAGAGAGTCAGAAATAGCAAATTCCAGGCAAGGCAGAGCTAGAGAATCTAAGGAGATCTATTGAGGTTGTCTCTCTATCCCCTGATTTTATAGCTAAGGTCTCTCAATGCTGAGAGTGGAAGAGGTTCGGACTCCTGGAGGTGCAGGTTCTAGAATGCTAGGATGCTAAACCCCAGTGTGAGATCCCCGCCCTGCCAAGTCCAAGGTGTGGGGGAAGCTCTGGTTTCTGCCCTCGGAGGTGAACTGCCTGAATTCCAGGAGCTCACCCAGAGCAGATAATAAAGAGAGGGCAGAGGGCTAGGGAAAGGACTTACATAAGCAACTGCTCAGAGTGGCTCACCCTCCTGGGCAGGGATGGGGTGGGAGGTTGTGAACCCAAGACAGGTCACAGATCCTTGTGCAGGCATGGACACTGCTGCCTCAATGACTGCTTCTAAGGACAGGGGCGCTGAGGGTCTTACGTGTGTCTGTCTTTGCATGGCAGATGTCGTGGAGGATGATCAGCCAGCCCACCCACACAGCTGTGGAAGGCACGTCCCGTAGCCTGCATCCTGCTGGGCCTGGGGAAGTGTGGGCACAGGGCGAGGCAATCCCCACCCTGGAGATCACCCATGAGGCCCATGACGACCAGTCAGAGGTGAGGGTAGGGGCTATCCAGGGAGCCCGAGGAGGAGGGACCAACCCCGAAGGCCACCAGGCCCCTCTGGTTTAACTCAGCAGCCAGGTGTGAGCGAGGGAGGGAGGTTGGGAGGGCATTGAGGGGCAGCAGACAGTGGGAGATGGGTGATGGGCAGCAGGAGCCTGGAGCCTGGCCAGTCGGCGGGGCCGAGGTGGGTTAGGCAGATGGGCCACCAGTCTGGGTCAAACCCATGAGCACCAAGAGATTCTTTTGTGGGCACCTCAGAGCCAACAACCTCTGCAGGGACTGTTACTATCAGTGACAGGCCTTCCACCCAGCAGGTCAAAAAGAATGGAGGGCTTAGAATGAGGAAAATTATGCAAGGAGAAAAAAACTTGTGCAGCATTGGAAAAGTCTCGCCGGCCTTGGGCATTGCTGTCCAGGAAGGAAGTGGAGGGGAGTCTCCAGGGGAGGACTGGAAGGGAACTAGAGCCCCCAGGAGCCCCCACAGAGGGACCCTGCCCTCCAGTGTCCTTGGAGGAAGATGGGCTTCTTCTGTCCTTTGCTGAGCGCCACGCCCTCACCAGTCAGACTGGCTGCCCACAGCTTGCACTGGAATGAAAAGTCAGAGGCCTGGCTGTGGCGCAGGCCCCCTCAGCAGCATCCCCTCCACAGCTCCTGAATGGGGCTCTGCAGGGCTGGGGTACAGGGCCAGGGAGCAGCCGCTGGTGCTGCTTCTGCTGGGAGCTCCTCCCACCACTTGCAGGGCGTCATCGCACCTCCTTCTGCACAGTGGACCCCTCATGTTGTCTTCCTTCCCGCCACAGTCCCAGCCCCACGTCCAGTTCCAGGCCCTGGCCAGGGGCACAGCCAGCAGGGCTGAGCTGCTGAGGCAAGGCTCGGTGGTGCTGCTCATCAGTGCCCCCCCAACCCCGACTCCTGAGGGCTCAGTCAGCCAGTGACTCGCTGCAGGGGGCTGGGGGCTGGTGAGGGAGGGCCCGCTTGGCACCCTCTGGCAGCCCCTCTTCTCTCTGTGCTCCTCCGCCAGGCCTGCCTGCGGCTCCTGCCTGCAGAGGGGAAGCCCAGGGTGGGGGTGGGCACCTGGAGGGTCCACAGTGTCCCACTGGGGGAGGCCTGAAGGGTCAGGCCCCTCATGCCAATGCCTTGCTGATGGTGGCTTTTCTCCTGTCTGCACAGAACGGTGCCGTGCCCAGCGAGGCCATCGAGAAGGACCACAGCCTCCAACAGGGCAACTGGCGCAACCAGATCCAGCTTGTCCTGACACACGTGGGTTATGCTGTGGGCCTGAGCAGTGTCTGGCGCTTCCCATACATCTGCTGTCACAACTGGGGCGGTACACAGTGGGCCCAGGGCAGGGACCACCTACGTGGATAGAGCCCAGCCCCTTCCGGCACAGACCCCGCTCCAGACAGGCTGGCCTCTGGCCCTAATCTCCTTTGCCCCCACCCCTGGCTTAGGTACCCTTTACCCCCTGACCTTGGCAGCCTGATCCTTTGCGGGGAGAAAAGGTAGAGAGGAAAGCATGTCTTCCGCCCCACCATGCCCTGGCAACTCTGGCCCAGCCTTTCCCTTGGTTCTTACCTGGCTGGTGAGGGGGATGCCCAGAAGGAAGCCAGCCACAGCCATGAGGAAGGTCATGTAACTCTTTTTATGCCGGATCCACTCATTCCCTACCTCATTCACAATGGCTGTGACGAGCATCGCCAGGAGGCCAACCTGCAGGATACGGCCATCAGAGCAGGGGCCTACCCTTGGCCCCGCCTCCTCCCGCCCCAAGCCACAGGCCCGAGTCCCGCACCTCGTACCTGAGTGCGCAGCCCCAACCAGATGAGCATGAAGAAGAATATCAGGGACCAGATTGGGGTGATGGGCAGCAGTGTGAGGGCCTCTGTTTTTACCATGAAGGCCAGGCCCAGGCTGTGGTCTGCCACATGGGACACGTCCACACCCAGGTGGTTGGCTATGAAGCCCAGGACGGAGAAGATGAAGCCGGCTCAGATGCTGGTGGCACAGATAGCTATGCTTTTGATGACAGTCTCTCTGATGGGGAGGGAAACATGTGGTCAGGACACACAGCTTAGTTCCTCCAGCCCAATTTGGGCCAGCAGACTTGGAGACAGGGAAAGATCTAGAACAAAAGTACCCCCAATCTCCTCTCTGGTCTGTTCTGGGCCTCCTTAAGTGGGTGTGAGGCTCTTGAGTCCTTACAGACTCCTGGGGCATCACTGTCGTCACACCTTCTCTCCTCTGCCTAAGTGTTCTCTGTTCTACAGTGACTGGAACCAGATCCGGCATTGCCAGGATCTCCAGGCTGTGAGTGGAAGGGAGGGTGCTGGCGGGCCAGAGGGTTGCACTGATCTGGTGGGTCAGAGGGAAGCAGGGTCAGGCTGCAGACAGGGCAGGAACAGGGGGCAGCCCCAGCGCTGGCGGAGAGACTCTCATCAGTAACAGTTGTCATGGAATTTATTGTTAGAAGCCAGGGTGATGAGACCACCCCCAGTGCAGCCCAGCGATTAGAAGACCTGGGAGGAGGCATCCCCCCATACCTTCAGGAGGAGCTGCGCTCAGAGGCTGGCGCCTCTCTGTCCCTCCCCGTCCCTCCAGGTCACCTTGCACACACAGCCCACCTTGGCCTCCAGGATCTTTTCCCACTGTGGGGTTAGGTAGTACTTGATGCCGGTAGATGCTCCTTCCAGGGTCATGCCATGTAGGGGAATGTGGCCGTAAAGTACACCACCTGGAGGTGAGAGGGGCCCCACTAGACTCCTTTGGGCTCTTCCCACTCCACCCCCCAACCTGCCCCCTCAACCACCACGGGTCCTCTGGTCCCTCTTTCCCTCCTACATGCTTTCATCACGCCCCCACCCACCCCTCCATACACAGAACCCAGGCAGGGGAGGCAGGAGATTGCTGGGTGGGCACAGATCCTGGAGGGAGGAGGACTTAGCTTTCCTTGAGTACTTAAACCACTCTCAAGATACAGAAGACAAACATGCAGAGCATAAAGAGGGAGGCGAGGGGAAGCCACACCTTCCTGAAGTTTCCCGTATCATGTGACATGTCCAGCACATAGAGCCTAGAAGGGGATGCTCTGTCACTGAGGGCCAGCTGCACCATCCAGCAACATCCCCAACGCCCAGGGCCCAGCCTGGCAACTCCCTGCTGTCTCACGGAGTCCCAGTAGTCGGCTTGTCTGAGATGGGAGCCTTGGCGAGGCTGCAGCCCCAGCCTGCCAGGCCTCTCTGCCTGTTGCCTGTCCCCGGATCCTCGAGGGTGCCTGCAGGCCACACCCCAGGCCCGAGCTAGCTTCCTCAGCCCCTGGGGTGTGGAGGTCTCCCTTGTCCCTGCTCAGACCCGGCCCAGACCTTTCCTTTAGGAAGGCCCTCTCCTCTAGACTGGGTGCACCCTATCCAGTGGTGGGGTTTGCTGGGGGTCCCAGTAGCAATCTGGAAGGGTCTCAGGTCAGGTCCCCAGATACCTGCTGGGCCTCACGTGGCCTCTGAGGCCCCCACACTCTGCCCTGAGCTGAGGTTCTGGGCGGGCCCCCTACCTGTCCCTGAGCCTTTGGCCTCCTGACCAGTGTTCCCGCCATTGGGGTGGACCCCAGCCTCCGCCCAGGCTAATTCAGATATTCCTACCTGGAGACAGGGTGAGGGGCCGGGGGCGGGGGGGGCGCGGGGTGCTGTGCAGTGTACGGGTCAGGCTGTGCGGCCCAGCCCTTTTGTCTGATTATTTTTGTAAAAATTGTATTATGTGTGGTTGCTACCCCCTCACCCTTGGCCTTGGGCCCTCTGTCTTCCAGGCCCGCCTGCATGTCCCTCGGCAGCTGTGAGGTCTCTGTGCCTCCTTCCAGCACTGGCTGTCACGGCCAGCCTAGCAGAGGCCCATGACCCAACAGCCCGCCCAAAGAATTTGTTTCTGGGGGGTAGGGATCGGGTGATGCTCAGTAGGAGGTTTGAGCCCAGAGCCCTGGGAAAGTGGATCCTACACGACACCGCCTTGCCCTACCACCACCAGGCTAAAGCCCAGTCTTCCTGAACTGGGCTACCCTTGTTGACGTGCCAGATTGCCCCAGCCCGTGTGCCCCAACCACCCTCTGGAGCCAAAACTCCTTTCCCCGAGCCCTGCAGTGTCCGTGTGTCTGTCCTCCATGCCCGTCTGTGCAGTGACAGCCCTGGAAGAGCTGCCTCTAATCCTCTGAAGCAATAACGGTGCGCCTCCCACCCCAACCATGTGCGTACCACTAGGTTTATAAAGTCCATAGGTTTTAATGGAATTTCTATTCCTGCTTCTGAGCTGCTGCTGTGCTTTGTCTGGGTCCTCCAGGGGGACATGAGTCAGGGCTGGGACAAAATCTCCTCCTGCCAGGCCTGTGGGGGGAATGCCTGGGAGGAGAAAGGCCAGAGGCTATGAAAGTCGGGACCGGACACTGAGGACCTAGGGAGAAGGTAGGGTGGGGGACGGACGGACAGACAGACAGCAGTGGAATCCTGGGGAGGGCTCATCATAGACTAGATCAGAAGTGGGCTGGACCCTGCGGCTGAAAGAGAGCAGGAGCAGACAGGACGAGTTCCAACCCAAGCTGAAGCCACCTTCCTGAGCAGCCCTTCCGGTTGGGGCCCGGGGCGCTGCACTGGACATCAGAGTTGAAGCTGGCCTTTTCCCAGGGCGGCACTGAATCTTCCGTCCCCAGCGGCAGATGACAGCCAGGCCGCAAGGTTTGGGGCTGCGCTCCAGAGGGGAGCGGGCAGGCAGCAGTGGAGAAGCCTGGCCCAAACTCCAGCAGCCCCAAGGAGGCAAGGCAGGAGTCCGGTGCCCTGGCTGGAGGACCCCAAGGGCTGTGGTCTGAATGGCAGGGAGTAGCTGTGAGGGGGCCGTGGTCTGCCCCTCAGCCTGCCCCATCCAGCTGTCTCTCTGCTCTGGGTTACCTGTGGCTGGGGGAGACACAGGAAGGCCTGAGGGGTGCCTGCGGCTCTTGTTGCATGGCTGCCTTCTGTCCTTTAGCTCGAGGAGAGGTTCTGCCTGAGACACAGCACCCAGTCTTCCAGGGTGTGTTACAAGAGCAAGGTGGGCCGCGGTGGGGGGAAGTGGGGGGAGCGGAGTGCTGGGTGCCCGGGGGCCTTCTAGGGTCTTCACCTGCCAGGGTGGGCTCTAGGCTTGCCTCAGAGGGCTGAGGGGCCCCTGAATACTCGTCTTCCAAGCAGCGCTGCAGGGAGAGCTGGCTCAGTGCCTGGCTTTACCGCAGGGGCGGGGCAGGACTAGGCAGGGTGCCCAGGCCAGGATCCCCATGGCGGGGCGCAGGAATCAGCCTGTGCAGTCTCTTCCTCCCAACCACCTGGGGGCACTCCTGAGAGGAACACCAGCCTCTCCCTGAAAAGCTGAGCTTGGCAAGGGGGTGGCAGGCCTGAACCCAGACTTGGGGAAGAGAAGGAGGCAAAAGACCTAGGCTGACCCAGCAGTTGATCTAAAAGTGCTGACCTCGGTCTTAGGGACTCAAGTGGAATATGGGTTCACGTACTTAAGGGTCACACACATAAGAAGTGTGCACACAGGAAAAACGGCCTTAGGGTTCACACAACCTCTGCAGGCACAGACACACAGAGACACATGTGTGGATCTCACGCCCTGGCTGAGAGACAGGGGTGTCTACGCTCAGCAGAAGGGCTGGGGGCGGGGCGGCCAAGGACTGCAGCTCACCTGCGGGATGGGAATCTCCCTCTCCAGCGCATGGCACTCTTCCTCCAGGAGGGCCCTGGGACATGGACGGTGCAGCCCCAGAAGCAGCGTTGCAGGCCCGGGTCTCAGCAGAGCCACGCGGTCCCAACCTCCAGCCTCCCCAGGAGCCTCCTCTAGGCCCTCCTATCTCGGTCCACCTCTCCCTCTGCTGCCCTCATGCTGTTCCAGCACAGCCTTGCAGCCCTGCCAGCCTCTTCCCGGGCAGGGTGTGTCCTCTCTCCTTGCCCGCCTCCCAGTGCCCACCGTGAGGAGCAGCAGTCTCTCTTCTACACGGTAGGACTCGACTTGCGGGTCCTCCTGCCTCCATTCCCCCCCACATGACAGCCCTGCCCCTGCTTTCAAAACTCGTGTGTGTCACTTCTTCCCCAGCTCCCAGGATCAAAGTCCTTGGGCCAAGGCCCGTGTAGGCGTCTGTACTTGACTGATTCCTGGCAGCAACCTGACCAGCATCCTGCCCTTTCCACCTCTCAGCCCCACTCTCCTGGGTCTCCCAGCCAGGTGTGTTCCCTCCCTTCTCCTCCCAGTAGCCCCAGTACATCAGGGTCCACCCGCAGCCCCGCCCTCCCTGTCCGCACCCCCACTGCACACACTTGGGGGCCTCACCGCAGGTGCCCAGCAGCCTGGTCAATGTGGGACACGTTCAGCTGGTCCTTGATGACACTGAGGTCCTGGTGACAGCTGCCGGCAGATGAAGTCAACCTCACTCTCTCATGCTGCTTCACCCCAGGCCTTCAGGACACAAACACCACTTCTAGACAATTTTGTGTTTTCTCACAAAGGCAACCAAGGTGGTACTAAAAGGAGGAGATCTGGATCCTGGGATTGTACATGGGTTCTGCCACCCTTTACTGTGCATGAGTCTGGGAAAGCCAATCATCCTTTTTGAGCGTTAGTATCATCTACCAAATGGGGACATCACCCCCTTCATCAGGATGTGTGAGACAGAAGTTGCTACCATTCACTGATGAGCGCGCTGCTGCTCTTTTACCTCATCAGCCCCTAGCCCTTCTAACCCAGTCCTCGCAGCCTGGTTGCCCCAGCCTGAGGGACAGCTGGCCGCTGGATGACGTCTTTCCTTGCGCTCGTATCTGCGTGTAGTTCTCCCGCCTCCTGCAAAGCGCTTCTCTTTGTACCTGTCTGGGAGTCTGTTCCTCGCACTCTGAAACCCACCTCGGACCAAGCGCCCAGGATCGGCACGTGTTTCCTGGGCCTCTGCGGCCCTCATGGGCTGACCTCTAGCACAGGTGGCTGTCGAAGGGTCAGTCCCAGACCAGGAACTCCTCCATGCCCGCGGGTGGGACCTACCAGCTGGCTGGGGTCCTTTGCCCAGCGAGGACAGATCCCTCCTCTCCTACGCCTCTACCTGGGTTCACCCGCTCTCATCTGGAACATCTCCTGTTCTGGCAAATCATGCCTGGGCTCCTCCAAGGCAAAGCGCAGGACCCTGGGGCTCTACTGGACCCAAGCGTGGGTCTGGTCCATGCAGAAGATGCATAGAGGCAATTCAGGGGCTCCTTCCAGGGAACCACAGGAAAGGCGATCCTGGCCCCTTGTCAGTTGCCAGGCTAGCCCTTCTGAGCTTTGGAGACAGGGCCCAGACCCAGGTCTGGAGCTGCAACCTGCCCTCACAGATGGCCTTCCAGCGGAGACCTTGGAGCAGCTGCTGCAGTTTCTGGTGCACAAGATCTCTTAGGAGGAGCGGTGGTGCCAGAAAGGAGGAGAGGTCAGAGGTGGGGCGCGATCCAGAGGCTTGGATAGATCGAGCCTCGTGGAGCAATGATCGACACATCACTATCTGCAAGGAGAGCTGGGGCACCTCGGCGACTGCGGAGGGAAGTGAAGGGAGGGAGGGGAGCTGGGGGGAATGAGGGGCAGGGCAGTTAAATTGGAGAGGGTTGGGTGGACAGTGAGATCCATCAAGAGCTCGAGAGTTACTGGGCAGGGCTTCAGTGGGAAGGGGCTCCATACAAATGGGGGTTCCTGTGAAGTGGCTGCCCACCTCGCCAAACCTGAGCCCTCGCCCTCACACACCTCTTCCAGAACAGAGGCCATTTCCCCAACTCATCACCTGCAGAAGCTGTTTTCCTCCAACGTGTATGGAAAGCTCTCAAAAATGCTCACCTTCTCTCCCCTCCCCCATCAGATTAAGAAGCCCCAGAAATCCCTGTGCTAAGTACTACTGAGTCACTCTGTCCTAGATATGTCGTCATCCTGCCTTTCTTTTCTGTCTTTTCCCCATAACCAATGGAGGAGCCCCGGAAAACCGGGGCTGGAGAAAGGCTAGGTACACGGAGAGTGACATCTGGGGGCATCTCCCAGAGTTTATCATAACTCAGAGCAGTGGCTGATGAAAAGGCAGCCAGGTCACTGAGATCTTACACCTATTACACTGGCGAGCCAGGCAAGCTACAACGTTGACTGGTGGTAAGGTTTCCCGCGTTCATGCTTTTGAACTCTCTCCTACGCATCTGGTAACAAGGGGACCATTCGATTCGCGCCGCCTTAATTTACATCCCTGGAAAAGCCTCCTAAAATTCAACACGTCTTTCCCCAAAGGATTTACAGCATCTGGGCTTTAAGAGACTCAGAGCTCATCTCGGTCATAAACCTGGCTCCTCCTTTTACATGATGGGTCCTCCCTTGAGATCGTGAATAAAATGTCCTTGGAGTCCCCAGGCCTGACTTATTTAAATGCATTCTCTTCTCTTCTATGAGAAAAATGGAGGGAGAGAGCTGCCCCGGGTTGGTTGGTATGATATCAGCTATCTGAAGGACAGAAATGAAGAGCCTGGAGTCACAAACAGGACAGAGGTGTGGGTGGGAGCACTGTATTTGGGGCACAGAATAGAAAAGGTCGCTTCCCTGGGAATGAAAAGAATCACTGACCATGAGCGAAGCGTCAGATCTAGACGTGGGCATCATTGGTGTTGGGGGAGGGTCACTGCTAGGCGCCTGGAGGGGGCGGCGGGATGGAGGGTGGGGGCAGGGGGCCGGGCGCTAGTCCTTGCCAGGGATGCTCTTCAGGCTTCTCTGCACGGCCTCGCCCAGCTCTTCCTCCAGCTTCTCCTTCTTGGACATGGCCAGCTTGGACTGGTGACCCCGCACCACCTGGTCAAAGTAGGGGGCACTCTGCTTGCCGTGCAGCATCAGCGTCCACTCCTTCAGATCCCCTTCTGGGGCAGGCTCCCCACGAAGCCCAGCTCCAGGGTCCAGGTGCCCCGGGCGTCCTTCCCCCAGGTGTGGGTGATCATGAAAGGCCACTTGTCGAAGCCCACTTTGGCAGTGGCGTCCAGGGGGCGCCTGCTCAGCAGGATGGACGTGGTGCCCATGGGGGACGTCATGTTGATGTTCAGGTCCCCTCTCCTGGTCGCATTGACGGTGACGACCACTTGGACGTGCTCTGGGTAGCAGACGAAGTTTTTCTTCCCCTCGCATGCATCGGTTGTGAGTGTCAGCACCAGCTTGCCAGTGGTCGGAATTTTCCTGAGGGCAGAGTGGCAAGGAGACACAGTGAGCGGTGGGGACACTATCCCTGGGTGTTTGTTGGTTTTTTTAAAAAAAATTGGCTGCATCCTGAAGCATGTGGGACCTTAGTTCCCCCACCAAGGATGGAACCCACGCACCCTGCATTGGAAGTCGGAGTCTTGATCACTGGACTGCTTGGGGATTCCTAGGGGTTTTGAAGGCCGCTCTGGGGAGCAGAGGGAGCAGGGACTCTGGGGTTAATCATTCTACCAGCTGTGTGACCCTGGGGAAGTCACCTGCAGTCTCTGATCTGTTTGGATGGGGGATGCAGCCAAGGCCGTCGAGCCCCTTCCCACTTCTCCCAGGTCTCTGCTGGGTTCTCTTGCAGCCTAGGCTCCTGTGGACGCTGATGGCAAAATATCAGGGATTTGATCCAGAAGGGAAAACCCTAACCAATGATTGACAGGAGGAGGTGAGTCAATACAGCCTCTGTTCCTCACTGCTGGTGGGGACAACTCAGGGTCCCCAGTGGGATTGAGTCTAGTTGCCCAGGGCATCGAGGTGCCAGTCAGTGCATCCTCTGTGTCTTCTCTATTGGGTTGCGCTCTCTCCCTGTCTACATCGCCTCCTCCTCACCTCTGTCTCCTGAGATCATCTCTCAAAGAAAAAAAAGCAAAAACAAAAACAACTGTCAGCACCTAAGTCCAACTGAGAGCGAGACGGGAGCTCAGATGTCTTTCTTCAACAGCACTAAGCACTTTGATAAAGAGAAATCATTGCTAATGTGATTGCTACGACTATTGTAACAACATGACTGCAGCTCAGAAGGGACTGGTCACGGCCACACCTGACCAGGATGCGGTGGAGCATACCCTCCACTCTCCACTGAGCTGCTTCTGTTCTTCAGGTCAAGTGTTAACATTGATTTCCAAATTCACATAAAATCCAGTCTGTCACGACCTTCAGGGGCTTCCCTGGTGGCTCAGACAATAAAGAACCTGCCTGCAATGCGGGAGACCCGGGTTCAATCCCTGGGTGGGAGCGATCCTTTGGAGAAGGAAATGGCAACCCACTCCAGTATTCTTGCCTGGAGAATCCCCATGGACAGAGGAGCTTAGTGGGCGACAGTCTGTTGCGTCTCAAAGAGTCCGACACGGCTGAGTGACTAACACCAATACACCATGGATGTGTGAACTTTATAAGAAGTCTTTGATCTGTCCCTAATGTGTGTCCACTTGTCTCTGTCTATCATAATTTGATGGGGCTTACATGACAAAATCATTCCTTGGAAGGTCACTTTCGCAAACACTGCTCTAGCCCAGAACGTGGGCTGCTTTACTCTGGATGCTTCTCCTGGGCCAGAAGTTTGCCTCCTTACGATCCCCTCAACACCCCACAGTAAGTCTGGGGTCATGGAGAGAATCCCACATATGGGAAGGTAGCTCTGTGTGTGTGTGTGTGTGTGTGTGTGTGTGTGTGCTAAGTCACTTCAGTCGTGCCCAACTCTTTGCGACCCTGTGGACTGCAGCCCTCCAGACTCCTCTCTCCAAGGGATTCTCCAGGCAAGAATACTGGAGTGGGTTGCCATTTCCTTCTCCAGGGGATCTTCCTGACCCCAGGATCGAACCTGCATCCCTTACATCTCCTGCATTGGCAGGCGGGTTCTTTACCACTAGCACCACGTAACCCCCACTAGAGATATCCTACGAAACTTCTCTAATATGGGACTCCCTGGGAAATGTGAGCAATGATCTCTGGGGAATCAAGAAGGTATTTTCAAGCATTTGGCAGAAAAGCATTTTATGAGATTAAACAACAAGGTGATGACTGGTCAGGACAGAGGACTGGGTTCCCTTTGTCCCCTGGAGCCACAGAGATGGTCCTTCTCCCTCTTGCATGGTCCTGATGGGCAGATGTTTTAGACAGGATAATTTGTTTACTGCATTCAGGTTGCTCTGGAAAAGCTTTCCTGTCGGCGCTCCGAGTGGGAAACAGCCCTGACTGCTGCCACATATGTCCCCAAGGACTCCCAGGTGCCTCGTCTGAACACAAAGAGAGGTGAGCCGCAGGAAGTGTTCACAAAGAGAGCCTCTGGCCTCCTCCCTCTGGGCTCTCTCCCGGGCCTATTTCCTGCTGATCAGAGGTTTGAACTCCGGGCTTTGTTGTTGTTCAGTCGCTCAATGGTTTCTGACTCTTTGCAACCCCATGGACTGCAGCACGCCAAGCTTCCCTATCCTTCACCATCTCCGGGAATTTGCTCAAACCCTTGTCCATTGAGTTGGTGATTCCATCCAGCCACCTCATCCTCTGTCAACCCCTTCTCCTCCTGCCCTCAATCTTTTCCAGCATCCGGATCTTTTTCAATGAGTCAGCTCTTCGCATCAGGTGGCCAAAGTATTGGAGCTTCAGTTTCATCCTTCCAATGAATATTGGAGCCCTTTTGCCCACTGAAAAGTCTTGGGCTTTACCACCCCAGGAAGCCCACTCCCTTGCCTTGATTTGGAATAAACTCTGAGGCAAGATTTACACTCCAGAACTCCCCCTGGAGTCAGGCTGAGGCCAGAACCTTTGGAATCGCAGCCTTGCTCAGATCCTTTCCCATGTCTGAACTGCTTCCTCTCTTTCCCAGTGGTCTCTGCTGGGAGCCCATTCTTAACGAATCGCACCAAACTCTAATCTTAGGGTGTGTTTCCAACCCAGGTGGCTGGTGTTCTGAGAAATCTGAGGACTGGCTTCCAAGATGGGCTTGAACCACCTATACCAGGTATCATTTCCCCCCATGTTTATGGCAAGAGAGTGCTCAGTTGATGACCACTACTCCAAAATGAAGCATGCCTAAGCAGTGACTGCATTCTTTTCTGTAAGGAAAGCTGCGAGTGTGGTAAAGAATGAGGAATAACTGTTGCAGAGCCCACAGATCTGTTGAAAGTTCCAGCAGCCTGCTCAAGCACCTTGATGGATCTAGATGTCACTTTGTTGGCATATAGGATTGCCAGGTAGCTCAGTGGTAAAGAACTCGCCTGCCAGTGCAGGAGACATAGAGACGTGGGTTTGATTGCTGGGTTGGGAAGATCCCCTGGAGGAGGAGGGCATGGCAACCCGCTCCAGTATTCTTGCCCGGAGAATCCCATGGACAGAGGAGCCTGGTGGGCTGAGCTGTTGGCATATACACCTGGGCAAGTGACGTTTTGCTTGTCAGAATCCAGGGAGACTTTAAGGCGAGTTCTGCCCTCTTTGATTTAAGGGGAGACAAGAAACTCCTTCTTATTCCCAGTCCTCTGTGAGACTGTGGCAGGAGCAGCATCCCTCTGCTTGTCTGTTCCC